GACGGGGTGGGATAAGAGTTGTTTATATATATATATATATATATATATATATATATATATATATATATATATATATATATGGTGAAATTGTATATTTTGTGAATTTTAAACTATATATATGGTATAACATTGTGGGATTAAAATCCCTATGTGCTCACCAGGTTTCCCAACCTGACCCACTCAGTTTATTTATACCACAGGTGTTGATATGAAGTGACATTACACTGAGAGATTTAAAGAGATGTAGACCACTAGTGTGAATAATTGTAAGTTCTGTTTATGCTTATGTTCCTGTATTAACGATGACATCCCAAATGTTTTAAAATGAAATAAATATGTTTCTTCGAAAATGTTTTAATAACGTATTTACCATATTTTTCTGGGAACAAATTCCGCAACCTTTTTATAAAATGAAGTACTCTGGTTTTTATAAAGCATAAACAAAATCGGTCTTTTCTGGCCGTGATTTTGGGGATGTCACACAATCCCATATTAACTAGTTTAAATATTGTTCTGTATCGTGTTCACGTAACTGAAACTGTTTATATACTTGGTAGAGTATAAATAATTATACTTAAATAATTAGTTAGTGTTATACCCTTGTTATTTGAACGTAGTAATGAATATCATAAACAAAATCTATCACTGTTCATATGTTTGATAAAGTAAGTAGTGTGTATCGGTAAAACTGGTAATGAATTCCCAAACTATACCTATTATAGTTTGACTGAAATATTATGTTCGTGAATTGTTCTGAAAACTATGGAAATTATATTTATAAAACGTCCCTTATGCTCCACATACTACAAAAGGGATAAAATATGTATATATTTTATGGAAATCGTTGGATTGTATCAATTGCATAAGTTTTAATTGGTTGTTCTATATCGTGTTCACGTAACTGAAGCTGTTTGTATACTTGGTAGAGTATAAATAATTATACTTAAATAATTACTTAGTGTTATACTCTTGTTCTTTGAGCATAGTAATGAATATCATAAACAAAATCTATCATAATTTATATGTTTGATCAAGTAAGTAGTGTGTATCGGTAAAACTGGTGATGAATTCCCAAACTATACATATTATAGTTTGACTAAAATATTATGTTCGTGAATTGTTCTGAAAATTATGCAATTATGTTTAGAAAACGTCCCTTATGCTCCACATACTACAAAAAGGGATAAAATATCTATACATATATATATATATATATATATATATATATATATATATATATATATATATATATATATATATATATATATATATTATGGAAATCGTTGGATTGTATGAATTGCATAAGTTTTAACTGGTTGAAAACCTTTTTTTTTAGTTCACAAAATCATTTGTGTTTGACTTGTATTACTCCTTGAAAACGTATAAAAACCATAAACGCGTAGGGGTAGCAACTCATAGTTTGTTGTGTGAAAGTGTCGAACTGGAAACGAAGATCCTCGAGTTGTTTTATGTGGCACTTAACGGAATCCTAATATCAAATAAATACATATATGTATCTAAATTAGCGATTTCGTTAGATAAAGCATTAGGAAAACACTTGCTTTTGGTTAAGGATGTTACCGAGACTTGATTTAATCGAGGAACGGGTTTTTCATCACTTACACTACTAGAAAAAAAACCTTTTACGATGGGCAATGCGTGTTGTAAAACGCTCATACAACGCGCAAATGCGTGTCAAGAAAGACCCTGTCATAACGAGAGACGACGCGCATTTACGACGCACATTCATGACACGCTTTTATGACGTGCAGTTATGACACCAATGCGTATCAAGGAAGGCCATGTCATAAATGAAGACAACATGCATTTGCGTGTCGTAACCTTACGATGCGCATGTTTACGACTCACATTGCGTATCATTAAAGCCCTTGTCAAGAAAGGCTATGTCATAAATGAAGATGACACACCTTTTTGCGTATTGTAATTTTAAATGTTAAAAGAAAATATTATTTATAGATTTACTAATTTTCAAATTAAATTTGGATTCAATGTCTCATAATAGAAAATAAAATATCATGTATAAAAAGTACAATCCATTACATAAAATTTAATGTCATACAAATAATCGTTCCATGGAAAGATAAAACAAATCAATAGAAGTTGTAACAGAAATTTACAAACTAATAGTTCTAATAACCCAATGTTTGCCTCACTGTAAACAAGATTTATAGCAACGTTTTTCTTTGCAATGTTATTTGAAACTGGAGCCTTGGGAGCAGTTCGAACATAGGTACATCATAATCCTCTACCAGATGGATCACCAACACCCATTAATCTCCAATCTTTCAATGTTTCCTCTATCCTAACCAATAATATTTAAGACATCACTAGTGCTAGTGCTAGTAGCTTGCAGAGTGAAAAAGAATTACCAAATTAGGATCAAAACTGAGTCCATCAAAAGGAAATCCAACATTCTTTAGATTCTCCATACAATAGTCATAAGCCCTTCCTTCCCAAGCCTTCATCAAGTTCAAAAAGTGAATTTAAGTTGCATAACACTAGTAAAATACATAAGATGTATTAGAAAGCTATTAGAAAAGGTTGAAAGTTAAATGTTCATTATTCCCCTCCAGCAACCATCCTCTTTCGTATTTCACACATAGCACTTTTTCTTCTTTGCATGAAGCTGTACAATAAATACATCCCAAATTCCAATTAAGTCCCCTCCTTGTATGTACTTAGACCTATATATATATATATATATATATATATATATATATATATATATATATATATATATATATAACCTCCTGCATAAAGAAGCTTTGTATCTTCTCAGCAAGACCATAAACATCACCTATCAATGCATAAGCATCAACCACATGCAAGATTGGAAATAAATTTCTTATTTCACAAAGTAAAAATAACAAATCAAAAAGCTTGTTTCTTTATAGTCTTGACACGCCCCCAATAAAAGTGAATTCAATTTCTGTAGAGTTCTTCCAAGGCATATGTGCAATGTAAGTTCGCGATGACTGTATCAGTATTGATGATGTACAAGTAAATGTCCAGCTAGAAAAGTAACGTAGGATAATGATGAATGTATATGAAGGGTATCTTAGTAATCTTACATCCACACCACGACTCGTCTCTTGTATAGCTGAAAGCTCTGATAAGCTATCCAGAAGTTGGAGGTACTCTGACAAGACCTGGAATGCCTTTACATAACAAGATTGTATATTTATTATTTACACGGCTATGATAAAAAGAAATTATAAAAAAATTAAAAAAAAAAGTGCACCTTAGAGAAAATTTCTTCATTAACATGGGTTTCAAGTTCTACATGTATGTCCTTTGCACAAAGATGTGTTGCTAAAACTGAAAGTATGTCCTATAAATTTAATTTAAATTTCTTATTAGATGTAAATATAAGGTTAGTGATCTTAAAAGTAAAATTCTGAAGGGTTGTGGAATACCAGAAGATTTTGTTTCTTTCTAGAATATGTGTTAATAATGAGTTCTTGTTAGATGCTTGAACATAAAATGTTTTCTGATCTTATGCAGTGGAACCACAACTGATATGCTGGTTTTAGAGAAAGAAAGAGGGAATATTCCTACCCAATCAAAATATTTCAAGAAAGAAAATGGAAGTGAATCTAAAAAGCAATTCAAATTGAGATTCTTAGAAAAAAACAATTCAAATTTACCCCCTTTTTTCCATAAAAAGCCGTCACAAAATATTGAGATTCATTATGATCCACAAAATTTCTCCATTTAGTCTTATTGAAAGATATTTAGGTATTTAAAAGACATTAAGTCCAAAAGTTTGATTATAGATGAAACAGCATATCAGAGATAGAGGTATTCACAAGTATGAAAGTAGGACTAACTTGTTATCAAATAATGGGGATTTATTTGGCTTCATCTTTGAATTCTCTTTTCCAACATCCTTTCCAACAAGGCTAATGCATTCCATGGCTTTGGATCGAAGCATGCAATTAGCTTTTATCATTTTCATTTATTAATATAGATTTTATCATTCCAAAGGTCTATTTCTCTATACGTGCCCTAAGACCTACTAGATCTAGTAAATGTTCACTCTCCACTCTGTACCATTCATATAACGAGTGATAACCTTAAAAAATATTTAATCAAAATTCATTATACAATCATTGACAATTAAAAAAAATTAATAATAATAATAATAATAATAATAATAATAATAATAATAATAATCATAATAATAATAATCTTTCCTGAAGTTTCCAAGAGATTATGCCTGATGCAAGTTTAAACGCTAAGCTCCATTAACAACATAAGAACCAAAGCTGCAACCAGATGTGTAGAAACATGAAGAACTCCAATTACAATTATCTTTTTGTGTGACATTTTGAAGGGGAAAATGAGATTGCAACTAATAATAACAAGATAGAACCCATAGAAGATATGTATGATTGTCCAATCATGTACATAAAAATATCCCAAACTGTGCTAAAAAAGCTCTTTACATGCCCAGAAAATGTGTCAGCCTGTAGGATATAATCTAGCTTACACTGTCATACACAAGAAAATCAGAATGTTTTATAACAAAAATAGTGGAAATAAAAAATGTGTACTTACCAATAGAAACATTGAAAAGGTCAAAATGAAGTATATGAATCCACCAATGAAGTCAAACTACCAGTTCTTCTTTCGGAATTTCAATATATTCCCAAGTCCAATCTGCATACACCATAACTTTTTATCAAATGTTTTTCATTTGGAATCTATCATAAGAATTGGATTCCAAGAATTACTAAATAAACAGCTGGAATGTTGAATGGATGGATATGAGGCTTTATTTTCATATGTTGTTCCATATATGTGTTTAAAATCACTAAACACAGAAAGGCATTCACATCTTCAGATTTACCTTTCAGTAGAGATTTGCTCCCCAAATGTTCTGCAGGCTTGTCAGACTCTATGATATAAGAATCAAGAGCATCTAGTTCAATATTGGGATTCTCATCCTTTTTGTGAACTACGCTAGGATCCAGGAATTATGCATGTGCTGCAGATACACTATGCTCCAAAATTCTTTTTTTGGCTGTTATACCAGCAACAAGCATATCTCCCCCATTAGCCTTCCTTCTCTTAAGCTTAAACCTTAAAGATCCAGGTATAATCCGCAACTATAATTTTTACCCCTGCAATAAGTATATTTACACCAACAGATTTTTCCAAATTGGCATGTTTCATATCATACTCTACACCCGCATCCATGCAGTGATGATCCTGCCAACGAAGTTTCTCATCCATAGAAAAAACTAATGAATTTACAGTTTTCTTCTTCAAAACATCAACACCTTCTAACACATTAGATCCTCTATTGGAAACAATATGCCCCATTTGAGCATCCTCTCGAACTGCATCATCTCTTTCTTCATTCATCCGGGCTGCAGTTTGCTCCCGAGCAATTCTTCTGATTTTTGTATGATTATCAATACCTTCTTCATTTGAAAAATGCTTCTGAAGAACGCCATCTATAGATGGTATCCCTAACCACGAATAATTTCTCTTTTGAGCTACCAGCAATGTGGGATTAGACACAATTGCATCAATTACAATCTTTCCCGTTCTCAAAGTTGAAAAGGGGTGAAAACATAATTTTAGAGTCGGGACCTCACCATAAGAGAACTATTCCTTGTGAGGCCCAATCCAGCATGACTCCAATGTAATGGTCAAAGGAGAAACACTTCAAACTTTACCGAAATGAAGGTCGCATTGGATATAATCGCTTAATGTTATGCAAACTGAAGGCAAAAGCTTTGATCCTATTAATGTCTTGGCTTTAAGTTGACTTCACCACAAACCCACTTCTTAATCCTATATTCTTCCATAAAACTCAACATTTTCCCCACATGATTGTGAAAACCTAATCCCGTGAGATATCCAGTCGTTTTTTTGGCACGTGGAATTATATCATACCGAGATTTTCTAGGAATTTGTTTCCAAGATAACCCAAACTGTTCACGTTTGCTGGCTTTAAGGAGGATTCGAAAGATGCCCAAAAACTGGGTTTTGAAGTCTGCTACTCATTGTCTTCACTAAAAACTCATGTCACAACTTGCAGCTCAAGTATTAGGGACTAAGGACTTACTCTTAAGAGGAGAGGTCGTCATAAAACAGATGGAGAATAAGAGAACAATCTTCGTACCTGATTTATGGAATAAAAGAATCTTTAGAGATTGAATGTAAGAGAAAGAAATCTAGGGCATAGACATGAAGAAGAAGAGAACAATCATCGAACCTGATGCCTCCTTCGCTTTTGTTTACCGCATCTTGATGCTTCCGATCGTACCTTGAACCTCTCTGACTTGCAACCTTCGATTTCCGATGTTCAACCTCTAATTCTAGTCATATAGTTTCGAATCTAAGAAAATTGACCTTGCTACCTCCTATTTTTTATGAAAGCGGAGTCTCAAATCTGAGAGAAAATTAGGAGTCGTCGGCTAAAAATGGATTAGGGCAGAGAGGAGGTGAAGTGGGGAGGGGGGGTCTATACTGATTTCGATTAAGAGTGTAAGAACTTTTTGGAATTAAGGATTAGATTTTTGGTGGAGGTGATGGATCTGGGAATTGAGGAAGCTGGGGATGAAGATGAATGCCCTAGGGCTTTTTCATGCAATTTCTAAGAGGCGGGGGTTTTAATTTTTGCTATCGAATAGGCGCGCGGGAGTGAGTTTTTTGTGATTTCATTTTCCCCCTTCAAACGCATGTTTGATTTAAAAAATATAAAGCGACACACTCACATAACCCGCATTTTATGCTAGGCGACCTCCATATTTATTTTTAATTTTTTTATTTTCTGACACTTATTTTAGGCCACGCACATTTGTGTATCCTAAATCCTTTAAAATTTAGGAGAGATGACATTAATTTTACATCACACAGTTTTGCGTATCGTATATTCGTGCGTGTCATAAATTGCATGTCATTAAAGTCCTGTTTTCTAGTAGCGTTAGGAGGTGTGTATGGCCGTGAATGGGGGTTTATGGCCATGAACAAGGTTTACAGCCGTGAACAAGGTTTACGGTCGTGAACAGTCTTTTGAAGGGTTTACGGCCTTTGAATATTTGAAGAGTTACGATTGTAAACTCAAGAACAAGGGTGTTTGATTTCGAAGAAAACATGTTCCAGATGCTCCAAATCGAATCAAAATGAGGATCTTTGATGTTCTCCTGAAGAAAAGAGGCATGTTTGGTGTTTACAACCCGAGGTTCTAGCGAGAGAATGAGGGATTTTTCAGCCAAGAGGTTGAAATGAAGGTGGGGGTCCCGTATTTATAGGCTCGGGGTATGGTCAGTTGTGGGGTCCACCTGGCACCAACCGTACACGGGTTTATGGTCGTAAATTGGTGCACGGCCGTAAACAGGTATATGGTTGTCACGGGTGTACAGCCGTACACCCATCTTGGTCGAAAATTGTTAGATTTTGAGACTTTTTGGGTTTTTCGCACAACTTTTGGTTCGTACTCGTATATAATTTTTCCAAACCAAGGAATTTGACGGAAATCCAAACAAATTCAAATTTTCTTAACGGAAACCGGTTAAATGATAACAGAAAAAGTTTCGAGTTGTCACACATGAACACTCATGATAAAATCCATGAAGTGATTCAAATGAGCGTAGGTTGAATCCAATACTCGAATCTTATTCTAGGAGTACTCATGAACACTGAATCCACTTTGTCTTATCGAAACTACAGACCCATTTATGACACTCTTGGCTCAATAACTACTTCCAGAGTATGATCGACTGTGGATGGTTTGAATAACCTAGTTATCCGGGAAGTCAAAACTTGCAAAGTGAAAACACAAGAATAATCGAATCCAATATGGTCTCAGAACTTATAAATATAAATAAAACATCATTTGTTTTATCACCATATTGATTACACATTATTCATTGTATAATGTTTTGATTTATCAACTTAATACTTGAATTTAAACACTAGCTATGGCATACTCCAACCATGTACACTATGTTTGTCTAAAAAATAGTTATGCCATGCACCAAGCTTGCACACTATGTTTGTCTATGGTCCTTACTTTGTGAGATAGATCAATTGAAAAACATTTCAATGACGCTCACTTCACAATTCCAAATCCTTATTTCAAGTGTAAGAATTCCAAATTCTTTAGACTGCTAGAAAGTATTAGATTCTAAACTATCATGAATTGATTCTTTTATAATATCCAGGTGGCAAAAGTCACATAGACTTGACCAATGATATTACAAAATATTCCTTTTGGAGATTTTTACAAGACAATTTCATGGAAATGAAGTCTCAAATTCAAAGTACATTCCTTTAAACATCCTTCTTGTATAAAAGTTTTTAACTTTCTCATCTCTTCTTCAACCCCTAATATGGAAACATTCCATATTTTCCATACAAAAATTCATTATTAATAGACTCCTGTCTATTCATAATAATGTCAATATGGTTCATCCATTACTATACCTCCAACTGTCCTTAAGAGACCAATCTTTGGCGAACCTTAGATTGTCCTTAACAGTTGTCTAACCACTTTAGTCATATCTGGTAATATAATTTTCTCTCTAAATGCCCTATGTCACACCCCCAAACCAAGGATGGCGGAAACGTCTGGGGGTGGAGGACTTCATGTACAGTATCATAACAACGTGTATAGTAGTGCTCAAAGTAAAAACAACCACCATAAATATAATTGCAAAAGTTACACCAAAGTATATGTTTACATGTTTCAAAAGCAATTACATTATGATGACAAAATAAATCGTTGACGGTTTAACGTCCCATCCTCAAAGCGATGAAGTTTTCCTGTTTCACTGATTTCATGAGAATACAAGTAGTTTTAAAAAGTGTCAACACAAAGGTTGGTGAGTTCATAAGAGTTTTGTTTGAAGTAGAAACCATTTTTCCTTGTAAAATCGATATAGTTTGATTTCCAGAAAATCCAATATTTTCTTAGTTAAGTATGAATAGAAATAATCCTACATGATGCATTAATGAACCTTAGAGTAACCCGTAGAGTTCCTCTATAATCGTCCAGCGTATAAAAGTTATATAAGGGTTAAATTAGATAAAACGTTGAATATAGTGGGTCTGCCCTAGGTCCACAACCCAATGAGGAACAGGAGATGAGGCGGGCACCACCAATTCTAGGCCAATCAAGACTAAATTCTTATATGACTCAACATATACGCTCAGCGACTATAGTTGAAGTCTAACAATTTTAGAGGGAGTATAGTTTTAATATCATAATAACTTTGTATAGAGACCCGACACTTTGTATTTGTACCCATAGAGATAAAAGGTGATTTTAAATCGACATAAAAATCATTTAGGTTTTAAAAATAAAATCCCGTAAACTTATGGATTGTTCCCTATGTGAGCCGTTATAATCATACTATGACTATGTGAACCTGCCACGACGTTCTCAGTGTCGCGAAAAATAAAATGACATTTGTCACCCGTAGACCTGCAGGTCCAACTGTAGCTAGCAGCAAGGTGTGGGGTGTCAATCCCAATATAGATCTATATACAAGTATCACGTTCTCCCTCAAGGAGATTCTGATTATAACTACCAGGAATTATATCCCGCACTCGGACGTACGGGGAGAGAGAGAGAGAGAACGAAAAATAGAGAAACTCACAATATAGGATAACAAGTTTACGTTAATTGTGTGTGAATATAAATATTTCTTGTATGAATGTACCTTTCTTGTACGAGTGCGTAGAGTGATGTATCATAAACTATACCTATTATAGTTTATCTAAAATGTATGTAATATGTATGAATCCTTTTATGAAAATGTATTAGAGTTGTGAATTTATCAAACCATATATTAACTTTCGTGAAATGTGTGTGAATAGAAATCTTTCTTGTATGAATGTACCCTTCTTGTACGAGTGCGTAGAGTGATGTATCATAAACTATACCTATTATAGTTTATCTAAAATGTATGTAATATGTATGAACCCTTTTATGGAAATGTATTAGTGTTATAAATATATTCAAACTATACTTTTTATAGTTTAATAATACGTGTTCCAAAATGAATGGATAATATTTAATATGAATGTCTTAGTTTCAGTTCATAATGATAAACTAACTAGGAAACACATTCAAACACTTAAAACTTATGATTATACACTTTGCTCAACATAATACAAGGTGTTATGATATTTACATGCTGTTGGCAAAATTTAGCAATTCTTCCCTGTTTTGGAAAAATCATAGAAAAATCATACGAAGTCGAAAACTGGATCCGTAAATTCTGAGAGTTCACAAAATGTGTCTAGTTTGCTCATAATTTTTATCACAATTTATAATGACCTCTAACTTGGGTGAAAAAGTCCATAATCACAGACTGGTCCGGATTGTTGTTTGAAATGATAGGCAGTTTTGTAAAAATCATCATAAATTGTAGAAAAATCGTATGGAGATGTGCAAGTAGCCATTTTAAAGCTAAAAACTTGAACTATTTGCACCTTGTACAGTTTTGAAAACAAAAATATTTAAGATGCCCAAAACAGTCCGTGAATGGAGTTGAACTTTTCTAATGAAGGCTGTTAGAGAAATTTAGTTATGTTCTTAGTGTTTTAACTTGTATTCCCCCCCCCCCCTGAAAACTTGAGAAAACATGAAAATGTAGGGGTATGAACTCACCTTAATTGATTTCAGTAGGTAAGTGTTGAAGAAGGAAAGTGTTCGACCCAAGAACACTTGAAGAATCACTTGAAGATTCGAAGATCTAACACAATTATGAGAGAGTTTGTCTAAGATATCCATGATTTGAGTGGTAATAAATGAGATAATCATAAAGAGAATGGATTATGCTTACCAAATATGGAGGAAAAACTCAAGATCAGCCCTTGAATCTTGAATTTCTAGAGAGAGAAAGTGAGGGAGGAAAGAGTTTGATCTTCTTGTGAAATGAGAGCAAATGAGAGAAGTGAGGAGAGAGGATGAATAATCAGCCCTCAAAAACGTGGGAAGGAGGGATAATTGAGTGGAAAAGACATTGATGTGACCTAGGTAAGGTGGAGAGGTGTGGTTAGTCAAAGAGTGGGTGTGAGGTGGTTGCTTGTGACTTTGGATAAGGCAAAGTCAACACTCCACCTTTAATAATTCATCAATTTGATTTTTATTATTTAAATAATGATTTTCATCAAAATATGTTTAAATTATGAATATTTAGAGTTTATTATGTTAAAATAAAATTTCTGGAGAAAATCCCGCTTTAAAATCACGAAAAACGGGCTTAAAATGTTAAAAAATATCAAAAATGGGCTAAAAATGACACATATGCGAATTTATGGCCGAGGCTCGGCCTCCTGATGCTGAACCGAGAGAGAGAGGGAGGCAGAACCGAGAGGAGAGGAGAAGGAGGGAAGGAACCGAGAGGGGGAAGGAGAGAACAGAGAGCGCGAGCAGACAGAGCGAGAAGAAGAGAGACAGAGAGTGCGAACAGAGACAGAGAGCGAACAGAGAGGCGGAATAGCGAACAGAGAGTGGAATAGCGAACAGAGAGGCAGAATAGCGAACAGAGAGTGGGGGCGGACCGAGAGGCACCGAGAGGGACCGACCGCTCGGTTGTGAACAGTAGATTCGGTTCTCTTAGCCACCAGAGGCTCGGCCTCTGGTCTCTTAGCCACCAGAGGCTCGGTCTCTGGTCCTAAGAAGCCTCTCATTCCGGTTTCGGTTCCTAAAGCGTATTTTTCTCGTTTTCGCCCCGTTTTAAGCCGTTTTTGACCCGGTTAAGGGCCGGAATGACCCGAATGATTCCAAAAAGTTTCGGGAAACTTTTGAGAGAGATTTGGGAGAGATTTCTCACACTTGGAGAGATTTGGGAGAGATTTGACATTCTTGGAGAGATTTCTCATACAAAGAGATATTTGCGAGAGTTTTCACATACTTGGAGAGATTTGGGAGAGATTTGACATTCTTGGAGAGATTTCTCATACAGAGAGATATTTGAGAGAGATTTCACATACTTGGAGAGATTTGGGAGAGATTTGACATTCTTGGAGAGATTTCTCATACAAAGAGATATTTGAGAGAGATTTCACATACTTAGAGGGATTTGGGAGAGATTTGACATTCTTGGAGAGATTTCTCATACAGAGAGATATTTGAGAGAGATTTCACATACTTGGAGAGATTTGGGAGAGATTTGACATTCTTGGAGAGATTTCTCATACAAAGAGATATTTGAGAGAGATTTCACATACTTAGAGGGATTTGGGAGAGATTTGACATTCTTGGAGAGATTTCTCATACAGAGAGATATTTGGGAGAGATTTCACATATGTGGAGAGATTTGGGAGAGATTTGACATTCTTGGAGAGATTTCTCATACAGAGAGATATTAGAGAGAGATTTCACACACTTGGAGCGATTAGGGAGAGATTTGACATAGACAGA